GATATATTAAAGCATGTGAGAATTTGCTTTTCTTCTTATTTATTGTCCTAGAACAGTAAGATATAACCTTTATGTTGTGTCTTCGCTATAGATACAGAATATAGGAACCCTTAAATTTTAAATTTAAAACTCGCAGGAAACGAACAGAACAAAAACTCGCAGGAAACGAACATATTGAACGGTGATTACCTGCATAAAACACATCAGTACGTGACCAAAGCAAATTGTGATTGATGGGTTTTGGCGCCACTTCATGTCAGTTTCGGTGGGCCCTGCGAATTCTTCACATGCATACCGTGTGACAAACTAGAAGAACTCTGAGCGAAAACTAGCAGCTTGGTTTGTACTCTGAAATTGAGGGCAGTGGTTAGTTAAGCTTTATCAGAGCAAGTATATAGCTCAAAATGAAGAACATGTAATGCTTCCTTAAAAATAGTGATATTATATGCTTTGCGTTTCCTTTTTGAAAAAAATACAAGAACTGCGCAATAACGAGAAAAGCAGCTTTCTGCCACGACTGATCCTAGCAAATGAATTGCGTATCTTAATGATACCAGCGGGACAATTTCTGAGTGTATACACAGTAGCGTAATCTAACTGTTGACCCAATCACACTAACAACACTTTTTCCAGGTCAGACCCAAGGCAAGGACCAGCTAGCGGAAGAGTTGGCCTGTGCTTGCGCAGTTTATTTAGACCGCTGTGCAGAGGGTAAATAGTTGGAATCGAGAAGAATATGACCACCAACTGAAGCATTGCTTTTACACATGGTGTGAAAATCGGCCAAGGGCAGATGTTTCACTTAGTATTGTCATATATTGGCATTTAGTTTTACGTTCAAGAGATTTATGACTCGCAATACAAGCTCATTTCTCAATAGATTTCTCACATCATTCGAAGAAACGATTCTAACTCCAGCCACTTGATTAAGGTACAACAGAATTTTTAATAATCCAAATTTTGTGCAAACACTTTTTCTGCCTGTGCTTTCTAAGACACCAGTGGCTGTTCCTTCAATAAAAAACAATAGTTCTGCTTTCTGCTCTAAAATAATCCAAAATAAACTAGCTGTTACGAATTTGAGTATTTTCATATTGTTTACTGTTACAAATTCCATTGAGTGCCACCATTTCTTTGGACTGCCCTCCCACAATAAGAACCATTTGAGATTCCGCTGACTGATAAAAGGTAGTATTCCAGATTGTCAACTTGCCTGGACAAATCTCAATGTTTGTGTGCGAGCTGTCCACTCCCCAAAAGTTAACTATAAAATAACAGTTTTCGATTTCAATCGTGTAAACGTTAAGTAGATTAAGAGTACAATTATTACAAAATTTGCTACGAAATTCAGTGTTTTTGATGATCGTCGATCCGTAATTTAGCAGTCGATTTGCCGGGCTGCGACGGAAAGATGGCGAAGTTAATATTTTCGCTCATAAGCGTGTTGTTCATGAGAAAATTCACATTGCTCCTAATCGATAACCCCTTGGGTGTGAGTCCCACCTGTATACCAACGTTGAACGCCAGATATTTCTTGTATTTTACAAGAGCAGAACACGGAGTAGCTATAATCGGAATAAATTAAAATGTCAGATGGTACATGTCTAGCGCGAGGATTTTTTATTTTACCACTGTAGTCTAAAAATTTCACGTCTCATAAAGTTACACGTGGCTGAAATGAATGAAAAACGGTCAGTTAAGCTACCTGGTAAACTCCCTGGCCCAATTTTTAGCAATTGCCGATTCAGAATTTCCACATCTAAACTCAGACGGATTACCTCAGCATGAGTGGCTCTGCAAGACCTCTTGCGCTCGGTTGTTGGGCTCTGAAAGTGTTATTGACTATGGATAGGTTACCTATGTGTAAAAAGGAGAGAGCTAATGCGTCACCTCCACAAACAAAGCGATCCCTTCCAAGTAATTATCAGTAGTTTATTACCACTAAGCTCGAGTTAAAGATGTTGAGCCGTTTGGAGAAACTTCCCACAGCAGCAGCATCACCTGAGAACCTGCCTTCGTTTCGCACAAACTGACAGTTAGTTAAGTCCACTGAAAGTGACCGTATGTTGAGGTTTCATTCTGGAATCAGGTATTCCGTTCTCAGAACACATTCATTTTTCGTTTTTTAAGTCAGCTGAGTTTCCATAATGGATTTTGACTGCCTTGCCTGTGCTTATTCGAAACTCCGACGAGTTAAAATGAATGCTGAAGTTTAAAAAGCTATAAGTATCAAAGATATTTTTTTCCAGCCACATTGTTTTCAAAACCTGCTGCCTCTATCAGGAAAACTTGGTCATTTTCGCGTGCGTCAGCAAAAAGTTCAAAGCATGCTTCACTAGTACAAATATTCATCGAAACCATTGTCAGTAAAACCAATTGTTATTCCTCTCTGAATTGAACGCAAGTTTTTGTTGGGCAAGTAAAATATTGCATTTTCCTCACTCGTCAATTGATTGTTCGAAAACGTAGTTTTCAATGTTCAAGTTGACCATAGGATCACCAGAAATAGTAATACTACTAGGACTGTTGTTTTGAAGGTGCATCCGTCGAGTTAAAAACTTTTCCTCACAGAATCAGTGACTTATTTTAACATAGGCGTGGCAACAGAACGTCGATAAAGCTACAGGCGACCAGCTTTATGAGAAGCCAGGTGTTGACGTAGGTTATTTGATCCAAAGAGACTTCACCAAAGGCTTTCGTTCTTGAAATGCACAAAAATCAAAGACCCTCCGAGGTGCAGGAAACAAATGCTCGAGTATTGTAACTGCATATTGCCATGCCGGCTAGATCCACTTCTCTCCCATTCTCACACGGATGAGGGACACGTGACGTCCCTGTGCCATGTATACTAATTACAACACAGTCACACGCATGCGCAGAGACTTGTTCAATGGTTTTATAAGGCAAGACGCATTGAGCCCGTCGTGATGTTTAAATAACATTTGATATTCCTTTGTATCGTCATGAACATAAGCCGCGGGCTTGAAAGAATTAGCTATAAATCCCTGCCCTATCTGCATTTAATAGATTGTTATCATTTAGTTGTTACAGCCTTTGTATGTTGTTTTGTTAAAACTAGGTGCATTTTTTTTAATGCCTGAATTTTAGCTTCTGTATCATTATCGTCACTATCTTTATCATCATCATTACTGTCATCATTATTATCATCGCTTCCATTATTATTGCTTTTGCTGACATCGCTTCACTTCCCAACGGCAAAAGGGTGCACAAACTTCACAGATATGGACGTGATCTTCCCATCAGAGTCCATGAAAATGATAACGACTCTATGGTTTTCGCTTCGAGACAAGACAAGGAAACCCCATATGTAGACATGAATTTTCTCCTAAACCACTTATGTGCGTTTTTACTGTAGTCCTTCAAACTGCCAACTGAAAGAGAGTAAGTTCATTCGTAAAGAAAATGTCAGTGACGAGTATTTTTATACCATATTTTAGTTCGATCGGTTTCATTAAGTTCAAAGAGAGCAAGTAAATGGGGACCAAATATTGTTTTAGCGAGAAGGGATAGGGTAATTTACCTCCCTGCAGTTTTTAAGACGGTTTTTTTTTCCCTGCAAATCTTGATTTCGTCAATGGCCATTATCGGCCATTAATGGCGACTTTTCTAAAAAAATGATATTTACACCGAATTTATCGCATAGTGACTTATCACAGGAATATGATTATTATAAGATAGATACAGAATAGAACCATAAAGAAATGAATAAAAGCCATCCGAAATAAAAAGGAAATTTGAAAACCAAACCCTTCTTCTACGTTTTCTATTGAAATTTTTTGATACGTGTTTGACTTCTTATTCTAGGAGCTGTGAATTTTGATATTCACCTTCCTCTCTTCTTCTCTCCATCAAACATCTTGACTTATGACCGTTGCTTAAGAAAATTCAGTCCACTAAGTAGATTGAGAAGGTTTCCTAGCTATACCCCTCCCCTTCCCCCACAAAACATATATTCACGATAAAATTTGGGGCTTTTCACAAGCGAACAAACAAAAAAAATCTCCTCATTCTCACGCAAAATATCCACTTCGATCGTCTTTCTTGCTAAATCAAATGAAAGAAAATTCGTGAATTGTTAATTTCCCACTCTGTGACCTGTAATTTACACTCTGTTGCTTCGCTTAAACAAGTGTGAAGATAATTTTGTTTCATCTCTGAACCTAAAAACCTCTCACACCTTGCTGAAAACGTCAGCAGACTTATTGACAGCCAGGAACGATGAAATAGGCAAAATAATTCCAGATAATTTACGAATTACGTCCTTTTCAGGTGTTATTCCATCACGTTCGCGTTAAAATAAACTTTTCCAGCGAGGGGTTCCTTTTATCAAAGATAAATATGATTAAAATCACTTTTTAGGAGAAAATAAAAAAAATTATGCACGCCTCACACAAATTGAAAGGTATTGGAAACCCTCCTTTGGCATATTGATTATGATTTTCAGTGCTTGTCTTGATCTCACGACTGTAGTGACAGGTTCACTAAAATGAATTAAATTTTCTTTTCACTAGTGAATGAAGGATTCAATATCTGCAACGTATTATAAAAGATTTCTTTTACGCACATCCATAGATTTTATTTACTTTACTTTACTGAACCAAACAGTCATTTCCTTGAATATTGGACGTATGTCGGCAACAGAAAAAGAAAAACAATGGCTTCTAATTACAACTAGCATGGCTTGGCACTCCTGTCGCCACCTTTACTCATTTCATTAAAAAGCCATTTTATCCTTTAAGTGCATGATCCTAATATTAAAAAGCACTCAGCAAACAATTCGACCGGATCAAAACTAAGTTTGTCGGTTCATCTTGTTTTGACATTTTCTTTGCCTGCAAGACAGTTGGCTTTATTCTCGACAGGTAAGTTGACATATGGGAAGAGCATTGATAAAAGAAACCATCCAATTGTTTTTAGAATTACTTAAGTTGTAAAATATTGCATTTGCATAATGTAGCTCATCATGAACGTTTTGTATTCGAAGGTAATTGTCGCTTGTGTTTACCGATTTAAGATTTACACCCTTAACGCAAACTAAACCGCCTTTTCGAACGAAGAAGCGGAAAACTGGATGACACAGCGAGATTAAGCAAGTTCAGGTAATCTTTTTCTTAATCATGTTTATAGTTAGTCTCAATGGACTGAACCTGGCTTACTGTATAAACCAAATTATATTACCAGCGTTTCCACTCCTTATCGTGTCAATATACTGAACTTTAATATTTGTAACCGAGATACAGGTTTTGATGCAGTTACGCAAGGGTCAAAAAATAGAAACGATTTAACGATTCGATCTTAAACCTCGCCTACTGCGACACTTTTCTTTTATTCGGATATATGCTGATTTAATACTATCTTATGTATACATAAATAACAACAGCAATGCGCTAGAATGAACGGCCGACTTATAAGGTAAAAATTCAGCCTTTCATAAGGTTAGTCTTCCTTAACTAATGAACTGAGAGAAACGTATTAGTTAACTGTGGCCATGTTCTTGTTATAACCAAACCGATAAGCTAAGCTAAATGTTTACATTTTTTCTCCTACATTCGGTTGATACCTGTATCAGCTATTTAAGAGAGTAAACTTAAAAAGCTGAAACATCTCACTAAGCAAAAAACTGAAACTCTTCCGAGGGACAATGAAACTCTATTTTGACAAAAACAATATCATGCTTTTCTAACGAAGGAAGTCACCTCTCTCCAAATTAAGAAATAAAAGTTTCCTGATGATGGTAATAAAAATATTCCAGGAAGTAAAAGATTTACTGGATGTTTATCCTGCTTACTGAAGGCTGCTTTGCCTTTTTAGTAAGAGGAAGGGAGAGAGAGAAAGAGGGAGGAAGGAAATTGGTTAGAATTGCGAAGAAAGGCGAGGAAAATAGGTATGCATAGAAACATCCAGGGAACAATCCACCTTCCCTGTTTCCAGCTCCCTTCTCTACTTTACCGCCTCCTCACTCCCCTTCCCCCTTGCTATTCTTTTCTTTTTTATGCCCGATGACAAGGATCCTAGTATTTGATTTGTAAAATGTTTATATGACGGAGAATTAATAAGTTATAAAAATAAAAATAAAATGTAGCAGAGGCAATTTTGCGGATAAATTAATTAGTTGTTTGCGCTGTAAACCTGATTATTACATCTCTGATCTTTATTCTCTCGAAGTTTTCTTTGGCATTGAAAACTTTAATTGTTTTTCTTTTGCTAAACAAACTATGTTCCGTTTTCAATAAGTTAGGTATTGTTGTTTCACTGGTTTAATTTGTGATCGTAAGGTAACCGACACATACATAAACTTTTCGTAGAATAGGATAATATGAATGAATTCAATTTAATTGATTTTTCTTTTTTTTCAAATTAAAGCAGCAAAAATTAAAGGAAAAACGAAACAATTAAACGCAAAAAGTATTGGAAAAAATAGAGATGGTAATAAGATGGTAAATCATTTGATTAAATTTCTTCACCTTCAAGTGCGGCTTATCTGAAGAAAGTTAATTATTTTTTCTCAGGAAAAGAGCTCGATAGACCAAACCATATAACCACCCATCGAGTAAAGAAGCCTTGTTTTCATCATCTTGAAAAAAATAAAGACAAGAAATTATTGTGAAATTATTGCACAAAGAAACAAATTATGTAGGTACATAATTCCTCAAACGTCCTTTATTGAGAAACAACGAACTGGAATCAATAATATTAATTTCATTTATGCCAGTTTTTCGTTCCAGAGCATCCAGTTGCCAAGGGGCTAAGAATATTAGCTACTTTATCTTGTTAAATACGTTGAATTCTTTTTTTTTTTTTTTAACGCTTCATTTATGCAAATTATTCCGTGAAGTGCGAGGCTATAATTACCTTAGTTGTGTTTCGGTTACTATAGGCTCAGTAGGTGCACTTCTTTATTAAAACCGAGACCATATTTTCAGTTGACACGTGCAAACATGTGAGTAAGGATCGATTTTTTTTTTCATTTTAAGTTAAAGCTGATTGAGTAAGATACATCGTTCCATAGAACCTTTTGAGGGAACGTACCATAAGGTGAGTCTGCGTCATAGTTTGTCAAAACCGCCAGAAAATTAGAATCAAAACGAGTGGGGTTTATTAAGGATCACGAAGCCATATCTAACGAGCTTTCAATCCTCTTATTGTTTTTGGACATGTCTGATTGGTTTGCGCGCATCATGAGATAGGCGAGGCCGTCTTCACGTTTCATGTACTTTTCAAAATGGTGACGCGAATTCGAATGGAAAAAACTGCCATCTAAAGCTATGATACCATGCCATTGCTCAGTTTGAACGTTTTTGCAATACGCAACGAATCTTCGTGATCGGAAAATTGGCGATATTAGTAAAAGCTTCCTCTAAGTTGCACGCGGAGGACACGTTGAAACTACAAAATTTAGGCTTGTACACTTTCTTTCTTTTTCGAAAAAAGCCTACATATAGCTTGCTAGCTTGCTGAAAAAAGCTTGGTGTGTAGTCTCCTATTTTTTTCAAAGGCCCGAAACAAAACGCCTGGCACGGGAATGTTTTCTTCAAAATGTTAAGGGGGAAAGATTTCTCAATTTGTCCTAACGAAGGAGTGATGTCGCACTTATCTGGACCCTCAAAACCGAGCTAAGTTGGGGATCAAAGGCTTGCACAAATAAATTTCAGAAACATGTTTAACTGGTGTATTTGATTACAGCCTTGTAAACTGAGTGTTTTTATGTAAATAAGTACAATGATAAGAGCTTGCAAATACATTAGTTAGACAATGTCAAAACTAGCTTGCTTATAACGCTCGATGATACATGGTAATTTGCAGTTCAAATCTTTGTTTAAAGCAATTTTGTTTAATACTTGTTTAAGGATGATTAAGTTCTTATAAAGTGCTCTCCTGTCTAAAAATTTGTGGTAGTTCTGTTTCCTCAGTCGAGGCCAAATTACACTGAAAATATTAAAAGCCACCCTTTATTTAACTTCTATGAACTTCTATGCTTTCTGTCCTGCTCCTTCATCTTGAATGTTTGTTAAAAATCCGGTTGTTTGTCACGATTATGACAAATGTCGAAATCGTTTGCGCATTTGTTTTTGTTATGAAAGCGCAGGTGATAAGCTGAGTACAGCTTTTTCCGTTTAGTATCTGCACAGGAGTCGTAATTTTCGAATTTCCATGTTTTCATCTCCAAATCGTCGCTATACTTTAAATTTGCGCAGCCTATAAATATTCTTTTTGGTGAGTACTTTTTTCTGTCTAGCCGGCTCAGAAGTTTTTCCGGTAAGATGAAAAGTTCTGTCGATGCAGTAATTGATGATGAACAAGACATTTACTGCGAGAGGGCTGGTAAATGGCCAAGTTTGGTCACAGGATGCTTACCTGGATACGGAAAAAGCTCCATTCGTTCGCTCTCGAGGCTCTTCACGTTCCCTATTTAATTTTGGGTGATATATTCTCCGCCATCATCAACTTGTGTGGTGATGGAAACAGAACATCGAGATCCAAAGGCGTAATGTATTTCAGACTTCACCGGAAATCTCTGCCTTTAAACTCATCAGCGAGCAAGATATTCAAGAGTTTGAGTCCACTGGCTAGAAATTGAACAAAGTTTTTTTTAAACTTCTCCTTCTGGCGCTGCCATTATGACGTAAATAAGCGATAATTTCTTTCAAACAGGAACACAACATTCATTTAAATTCTCTTTATTTGCAGGCTGCATACCAGCTTGACAGCAGTCAAAACTTGTCAAGCTTGAAAGTTGCATTTTTAATAACCGTAAGTATGTGTTTTATTTCGTACTCATATTAAATGTTTCGAAGGAAAAGTATCCAAGATAAATAATTAGACAAATAACTAACAATTTTAACCTCTCAAGTATCATTTAATATCGTTTAAAATTTGTTCGACAAAGGGTCGCTTTGGTGACTTGCAGACTGAAATTCAAATGCAGCCGCTTCAACGTATCTATCGATGAAAATATTGAATGTGCTGCATCTGTTTCCCGCAGTGCAGTCGGAAAATGCAGGGAATCAGTTTCTGGTCGGTGAAAACTGACCTCAGGTGGCTCTAGTTGAAGTAATTGTACTGTAAAGCAATCCGTTTGGAACTTTTCAATCTTTTAATAAAGAAACGCTCCCAATTTTTCCGATTTCTCACCAGCCATCCCAGAAAATCAGGGGATGTCTTCGATATCGAATTTTCCTCAGTCGCAAAACTCTGAGGCAATCGGGAAACAGCGAAAACCCTTTAACCCTAGCTTTGAGCCAATCACAATAACAGCCATTACCCGAAAAACCCTTTCAAAAAGAATTGTAGAGCAAGCTCTGTGTTCTATGATAGCTTATTCAAGATAGTATGCTTGCTCTCATTGGTAGATAGGTGTTTGTAGATGAAAGTATCTAATCATGGCTGCGACGTCATTTTTTTCAGTTTTCTGGCAGAATTCCAAACATTTTAAAGCCTTTGCTCTTAGGAGTAGTTCACCTAATTTTGATTTGGACTTTCACCATCTCTTCCCTTTGAGCCCGAGAAATTTAGAAAAAAGTTAAAAAAAAAAGGGCGAAAAAAAGAACCGCAACTGACAATCTGTTGCCTTCCTCGATAGTCCCAGGCCACACGACCTCGACGAAGAAGCTCAAGCGATAACGATACAAAATTACGTAATTAATGTCTTTCGGGGTAGCTTTTGCGTTACATACAACAAATGAATTTTCCTTAAGACATTTTTCATTTAAAAATGAAAACGTTCACCAAAGTATACGCTACAGACTGTAAATTTTTCAAATCAAACTTTTGACAGCCCTTCGGCTGCTGTGTTTTAAAACGTCAAACTTGCATAAATTGCATTTTTGTCTCTGAGTCGTTCTCGTTGTGAAATGTTAGTTCCACATTGGCAACGATAGTCGTTTAGAACTTTATCTTTCAAAATTGCTTGTCAAATCAAACTGCCATATCATGTCGCTGTCTAGCCACAGGAATGAAAATGTCTACAAAGGCCTCAAAGCTCCTCCTTCACAGCAGAGGCTCCAGGCATGTAGAATTTACTATTATTTTCCCAAAATACACAAGCCGTCGGGAAATACCAGTATTCCAAGGGCAAAAGCTACAACTTCAACAATCTGATCCACAGTTTGTACTATTACTCCTTACCAGCAACGATTGACGAGGCGCACCTAGCGATTCAACTTCTCAACGCCGTTTTCGCGCTGAAAAATCAGGCAAGTTCGCATCCTTAGAGAGCGATTAAGGACAATGACATACATTTTCAGATTAAATACACCACTCCGACCGAGATTCTTTCCCTTTAGATTCTTGCATTATAAACTTTTTCGAATTCACTAAGCCCTGCGTGTTTAGGTAAGGCTATCTATGTGAATTCTAATGTGGTAGACATTACAGCTTGTTGGAGACAGTAAATTTAGCATCATCAACTGAACACAATTTGTAGGCAATTAATCGCAGGAGCCATTTAGCCACACAACCAATCAAACTGTACGTAAAAACAAATTCATCAGTATAGAATGGTGTTTTAAAAAGAATTGTTAATCAACTTGCATTATTGTCAAATTTGAATACGACACAGATGGCAAAATTACCGCAGAAATGACGTGATTTATTACTGCGTCGCACAGTTAAATTGGACATGCAACCTTCAAATTTAAAAGTATACTGAAGGGGCAACAAGGCGAAAAATAATGTTGTTAAACATATCATCCGTACTGGGACTAGACCAAAGGAAGCTAAAAGGAGAGGTATGAAGAAAATCAAACGCTATGATTAGAAGAATAAACAGATTATTTAGAAAGGCGAATGGCAAATACAATTATACGGCTTGTAGTAATACATCATTTCCGCGCAAAGTAAATGCCGGATTTTTAGCAGACTTCGAAATTTTTGCATTTAAGTTTTCACCGCCATATTTGACGATTTTTAACTCTAACTTAGTAAAGACTCAAATGTACTTTCACAACGAAGTGGTACTGAGACAAAATATGCAGCCATGAGTTTCAAATTGCTTCAAAATGAAATATGCCTTGAATTGTAAACAGACCGTTGTTAGAAACACTTACCTGATAGTCCTAAGTTAATGGATTGCAGAGATGGTTTTGCCACTTGAATCATCCTAAGTGATCTTTCAGCTTAATGAAAGGCAAATTACACTCTACCGGGAAGGTTATTTTTCTGAGTGTTTCACAATTTGTGTAGAGGGTCAACATTTTGTCCATGGTTTTCTTCTTCCTCTGTGAGGGGTAAATGAGATGAAACTCAATGATTTGGCAATACTAAATCTTCCGTGTGTCGGTGACACTTTGATGGGCTTTGGACTCAAAAATAAGGCCCTTGATTACGGGAGTATATTAAAATTAACAAGGTGGAAGTCCTTCAAGTTACATGAATTTTTGTATTGGTGTTTTACAGAACCCAGCAGCTTATTGTTAAGCCTACATTTGCTTCCAAGGCAAGGCAAAATGCTTTTTAAATCAGGCAAATGTACTTATTTTGCTTCTTGGAATAGTTTTTGTAACAGGCCATGGATATTGCCCTTGAAGCTAGCCAAATTCGTTGATTGAATTTAAATGAATAAGTGTAACTTCCGTTTTCATATTTTAATCACGAAACGTTAAAAGTCAAATGTTTCAGTTTCTTTTTTCAGCTGTAATCAAAGATTCTAGTGGTAAAATCAGTGAAAAATTACTGCAACTAAACGTGGTAAACCGCAATCCTAACATGTTTTTCTTCTTTTTTTTAATTGATGATCCCTATAAATTATAGCAAAACGCTAGACAAATTATTCTTACTGCCATTTTAAATTGTAAAATGCAAATTTTTAGCTTCCATTCAGTTTCTGAGAGAACATTTAATATAATTGAGAGATAAAGCTAGCCGTTTAATCCACAGTTTCCGAAATCTGACTGAACACTCTCACAAAACGATTAGCAGTCACAGCAGGGAGGAAATGTTCATCTTGAACCTTCCCTACTGGTGGCTACAATAACTGCAACTCATCCTACAAGGCAAAAAGGGAACCATCCTTCTTATTTAACGTAGCTTCAGCTCGCAGATTTAAGAAAAAGCTATTTTTACCTGCTCAGAGAATGAAAGCGAGGTTTAAAACTACTTCTACAGATTTGAATTGATTTGGGTGGTAAGTAATTAATAATGGTTTCCGCTATTTACAATTGGATCATACCTTTAACAATGCATTATCGCTAAAGCTGTGAACTCAATTTGTAGGCAGAATTTTATGAGAGAAGGAAGGACGCCAAGAAGTGTGTCGCACAGTTCTTGCACCTAAATTTGTATATAAAAATACGGAAATATTTCACATATAGAAGTTCTGTCAAAACACTGAGCTAAAAGCATGCTATAATAGATTTCATGATGATTTTTAATTTTTAAGATTTGCTGTGGGCCGATGTTCCAAGCGCTACCTGCTCTCAAACCCTTTACCCGAAGAGAGAAAAAAATAATTAGGGTTAATTTGTCAGCAGGTATACTTCCTATTTTTCTATCTCCAGATTTTGTTTTATATTTCACTTTGGTTTCTCATTGGCCATTTAGATTGGCTCCGGCAGATAATAAATAAGATTAATTCGAATAAGTAAATGAATAAATACAAATATTTCAACGTATTTTGTCACTTCACAAACGCCCAGGAAAAACACCGACGAAATTTGTAAAGTACGCCCACACGTTTGAAACTCGTTTTGTGGCTTTTGCTTTCTTGTTATCGTTCTCTTCTGTGAAGTCTGGCTGAAGCAGGGGCTGCGATTCTTTTCACGAGTAAGTGTTCTTCTTCGTTGAGCATAAAATCTTATGTTAGCGTTATTGATTTCTGGATTATTAACGACAAGGGAGGATTTAGCTAATTCCTCTCAAGTTATTTTCAACTCATACACCTGAACTCTTGCGGAGAATAACGTTAAATTTATCTTGCGTTTTCTTGAATCTGTTTGGTGTAGACAACCTGTCACAAATAGACCCCGCATAAAGTGTCCATGCGAGCGAATTTGCAACCGACGAGGTGTTATTTCTGGATCCTTTTAGCATCTCAGAGAAGCATGACATCTTGAAGATATCTCAAGGCAGAAGATATTACGGAGGAAAAATGCATGCTTTAGTTAAAAACTAATTTTTCTTTAAAATGTTTCCCTCTCAAGGTTCAACCAATAAGAAAACTCAGCTCATCATGATGGTAAGCAACTCTTCAATAAATGACAGCTTCACAAATGAGGCGCAAGAAACCCAGCTTAAGTGGCTAAATGCTGTACAGTACACAATGTTCACAACGATCTTTGTGGTCAGCGTTATCGGGAACACTTTGGTCTGTCTCGTCATTGCACGAACTCCGCGCATGCGCACCACACGTAACTTTCTACTGGTAAACCTTGCCGTAGCTGATCTGACAGTCGCAATGCTTTGTATTCCCTTTGAAGTAGTTTTGAAGTTGACGTACCCTCGCTGGCCCCTGGGACCGGTAATGTGCAAGATACTATGGCCTACCATGACGTCAGTGACCACGTGCTCCTCGGCCACCCTTGTTGCTATCAGTTACGACAGGTAATATCAACATATCGACACAGAGAAAGAAAAATCATTTTGAAACAAACTCGATATTTCAACATGAAATTAAGCTATGTTACTTTTATGAGATTAATTCCTCTATTTGAACAAAAAGCAAAGTAACAGCACAACGTGTAATTATATTTTTTCTTTTTGTCTCTAGGGACAAATGACTTTAAGGCTCGATCGAAACGTCATCATGATTATTGATAAGAACGATGTTTTTCGTGTACTTTCAGCCGGTTCTTAGTGGCTTATGGTGTTAATAATTTCAAAAGATGTTAGGTTTGATCGAATGCATCCATAGAGTTTGTTGAGCCAGTTATAGCATAATTCTGGATCTTAGCAATTCCCATTTACAAATAGGTTCCGAGCTGTTGTTCATCCTTGGAAGCCCCGTTTCACTTCAGTACAAACAACCATTATTATTGCTACCACGTGGTCAGTTTCCTACGTACTTGTGATACCCTATCTACTGGTTCTGTCAATCAAGGATAACTACTGCAGAGAAGTGTGGCCAAGTGCTGTAGCAAGGCGTACTTACACTTTGGGGCTGTTCGTCATTCAGTTTGTCGTTCCCATCTTCATCATCGCTTTTGCTTACACCAAGGTAGTATTAAAGCTGCGGGATCAAGCTGCACGTTTCGCGGTAGAGAAAAAAGACCAAGACACTGCTACTCCAGAAATTACTCGCGCAGGTAAATCTAGCAGCTTCTTGTCTGTCGAAGTCAGCGATGTGAACTCAATATCTGGATCACCTCTGCCCACCAAGAAATTTACAACCAGGCTTAACAAACTTGTTTTGTCTCCCAAATGTCCCAGAACTGGTCAAAGTAGCGCTATTCAGCGGCTTGAGCGGAACACAAAGATAGTCAAGATGCTGCTTACAGTGGTTTTCCTGTATGTGGTCTGCATGCTCCCCAACCAAGTAGTGTGGCTGTGGTACGAGTTTGGTTCGGGGCAGAACTCTCCATATCTTAGGGTACTACTAACGCTAGGAAGCTCCATGGTGTATTTGAATAGCTCAGTAAATCCGATTCTCTATGCTGGAATGAATGATGAATTTCGACGAGGGTTCATTAACCTCTTGAGATGCCGATGTAGGCGTCCTATAAACAAATGACTTTAACCGAAATGAACTCTTTAATAGACGGTTGGACGAACTTGAGCCGCAGTTTAGCGAGCGAAAGTTACTTGGAAAGGGTTACATGCTAAGTTTTCTTGGCAAGATAAGTTCCTTGTTCAAAAACTGACTTGTTAGGTGACTTGAAAATGTAATGAGCTTGGATGAATTCATAAGATACTAGCTTTGATAACTGTAATGGCTTTTAAGTATTTGTCAACGTTACCCCATAAAGTTGTTCGTGTAAAGATTGGTTAACACGTTTTTTGTGCAGCAGTATCAAGTTTTCATTATGAATGCGGCCCTATGGTCATTCAACATCGAGGACAAAAATTACTGACCAAACAGTAATAACTGTTTCTTTAATACAATGAACTTTTATCTTGATTTTCCTTGATTGTTTTCGGACACCTAGATATTTAGCGACATGACAACGACATCACGGAGAACACAGGTATTTTTGTTGACCAGCTTCGTTGTCCTTCTGCTCCTTTGTGACCTTTTTGTTCTGTACTGCTGACATGTAAAACAATCTAACTGGATATCGTCAAAGCCGAAAGTGTATAGTGCTATGATTCTGCTTTTGAACGAATAGCAAATGTTTCATATGTAATGATCATCTGTCCAGTTTCTCAGTATAATTGTGCGTTGCTTTCTTTAGATCGAATAGTCTTAGAATTAACAACCTACACGGTTGGCGTTACTTAGTTGAATTGTCTGCTTATGGGAGCAATAACAATATATTCGTTAACCAATAACATAGCCTATAGCTTTTAAAAATAGTAAGGAAAGAACCATGTTATCCAGAATCAAAAATAAACTCATTTTATGGAAAAGGTTATTGTTCATCTCTGCTTTACAGATTAATTACGTTACTTTAATCGTTTGTGTCACGATATAAGAGACAGGCTAATCATTCGTGTGTTGATCGATAAACCTGTAAACATCCAAGCTTCGGGAATTTCGATTCCACTATCCCTATTGATGTTGTTGGGATGAAGTCTTACATGAATAGCTTCTTTGACCCTACGTGTGTACCAGTGGGGCCACGATCAATAAACTTAACCTTGCTTTAAATAGGAATATGCCCCATTTCGTTAGCGCCCTCCGATTAACTTCATCCTAACAACATCAATAGGGATAATGGAATAGAAAGTCAACGATCAAAGAACACAACACTTGATCAATGAAGACTTATGAGGGAACACTACCCAATGATGAAGACTAGCAGTATTGCAGTCGAAACGTCGCGATCAACATCCAAAGTGACTCCATCGTGAGACAAACGAATAAAGTTCATCTCCTACCATGTTCTTGTTATTACTATTATTGTCATTGTTATTACTAATTCATATGCCGTACATTACTTACAATACTTACTATGCTGGCACAACTAATGTGCTGACACTATCATTTGTTACAATAAAGTCTGGATATAACACGTGCTGTCATTGGTTGAAAGAGCGTGCTCTTTGAGAGTATAGAGCTGAGGTAAAGCTGTCACGCCATCGGCCAAATTGTGCCATGTCCGACCCTTTCCGGGACTTCTCTCTAACCCTTTTTTCGTTAATTGAAAGTAAAATTTCAGAACAAGCGAGCCAACATGTACCAATAGAAGAACCAAACAATGGTTTTTAAAAAGGCCAGGCGCCGTAATTTACGTTATTATAACGCAAGTAGAGACGGAAATCCTAAAAGAGAAAACGAAATGGACAGTCCAAGATTTTCACGCTCAGTTCGATTGCAAGCTTACGTACGATAATAAGAATCAAACACAGCTAACACTCGCATAGTAAATAAAGTTACGTGTTAAGAAAAACAATAAATTCCGCTGTCGTTCATTCATAAAACAATCACCTTGAACAGTTTGTTTTCTTCTTGTCATGTAAAAAAACGTGCATGTTTTTATGAGCCGAATTTTTACTGAACATTTCACTTTCAGATTCTGTGTTAGAGACTAAAAAAACTTCAGGCGGGATTGACAGCTTTAGTCTTGTGCGGCCAATCAGATCATTTGAACCATTTTACCAGGGATCCTGATTGGCTCATTGTAACGTGCTTTATTTGAGTATAGAGCATGCCGACGACACTTTTGTTCGCTTCTAAATAAAGTTTGTTTTGAAAATTGGAAGGTATGCTTGGGAACTTTAACGGATTCTTTATTGCAAAACAAATAGAGGAGCCTTGAATGTGCTCTGTTCTGCTCTAAAGCATTTAGGAAGCGACTAGAGCACTCAAAAAGTGGGGAGATTACGTCTCGTGTTTCTCCCAACACTTCTTTCGTGCTTTAGCCGCTTCCTGTGCGCTTTACAACAGAGCAGAGCACAGTCAAGGCTTCTCTATTTGTTAATTAGAACATTTATATCACTGACAATACTAATACTTCTTACAAGGCCAATAATAATTAATAATTATTCACCGAAGTAGAGGCAAAAAGTGTTGGATATTTTACCGAGCCGCGAAACGAGGAAGTAAATATCTACCACTTTCACTGACAATGAGGTGAATAATTTTCTTGGTATATGCCGTATGGAAACCAAAAAAAAAAACTAGTTTATTTCTGTAAATATACCAAAAAAATGGTCGGCAATTAAATTTTTGACGCGCGATTTCGTCTCTTTGGCTGTTCGGTGGTGAATAGCGCTTGCTTATCACCTCCGGATCAACCAATCAGCGCGCCTGTATAATACTATTCGCCTGTGTGGTATAGATTAACTATATTCACTGAAACTAGACGCACTAATCTATGAAAAGGTAATTTTTGGAAAAACTGCAAAAACTACCTAAAATGTCAATACCAATCATATCAGTATTAATGAAACTACATACATTACTGATAATAATAATACTTGCTAAAACGCAAAGCGCAAAGTTACTTATTACCAATAACACCAGCAAAGAGGGAATTTGTTTTTAGAAAATAGCAACAAAATTACTTACGACATTAACAAACGAAAAAAATAAATACATAAATGAAATTTTGAAAAGGAAAATTGTTTTTATTAACCCAACAACAAGAGAGAATACTTTACCCGCCTCTCTAACCCAACATTGGATATTTACCCTCAAAACGTTTTCTGCTTAAAAGCTAGCTAATTACAATGTTTTTTCCATACACATGTTTAATAATTTTGATGTAACTAAGGCAGATCAAAGATCATTATATTTGATATTAGCTTCAAGTCTAGAGGAGAAGCGTCTTTGTAATTTGATCCTAACAATTGGAAAACTTTTCAGGATACTTATTTTTTCTGGCAGAGTAGAAAAGTAACTTTTGGTATAAAGTCTTTTAAAGTTTTTTAATCTTGTCTATCTTTTGACGTCACAAATTCTATCCGTCCTTTCCTTATACCGAAAACAAAGGCTTAAGAGGTCCCGGAAGAATCATCATCCGTAAACCGGAAATGAGTGCCTTTAGCGCGTGGGATGAGTTGACAGACACCTAATCTTCCGTTTATTTATTCAGTGTGGCTGTAATTAGTTTATATCGAGCTGAAAAGGAGAATCAAATTGAAAGATATCAATCAAGAATCGATTAAAAATTTGGAACGGAAATCCGCTCTATTTCGGAATGTGTTACAAACTAGAACACCGAAAACCACCATTCTCCAAGTCGGGAATTGAACACTCCGACAACAGGTTAACTGGTCAAGATGACGGACTCGAAGCGCTAAGAGTGCGAGCTACAAACAAAATGAGGTATCTTTTTATATGTATATATTTATATATTTTTTAACTACTGATTATTAAACCTTATGTTTATATTTATCTTTTTTTTTTTTAATTCCGCGGTGTTCCGGCATGTTCCGCGATGTTTCCGGCGTTGTTCCGACTTATTTAGCATATGCTCTCTATTTCAGCGTTTAAGAGACTTAATCTGATTTCTGGTCTGAAAGACCAAGTCAAGAGGTTCGGTCTAGCGTCATGTGACCTGAAACTCTACCGCCTTGAAGTGGGAGAATGGAAATTAACTCTATATCAACTCAAAAGAATCTCGATCTGGAGTTAACCTTGTTTCTTGACTCTGGCGATAAAAATGAACTGAACGATAAGAAGTCTAAGTAGTGAATTCAATCCTGAAATAGGTTAGAAGTGCGTTCATTTTTCTTTTTCCCTCGCAACTGCACACACATGCTGCCAGGCAATGCATTTTGTCTACCAGTGCGTGTAATATTTAACGTTCAGGTCTTGGGTATTTAAATAGTAGATATGGAAATGGTAATCAGTCCATAGAGCGAGATGGGAGATTGTAGTCTCAATTATCAGGGCCTGGAAAATAAAATTTATGTATTAAGTGTATTCGCACTAGAAAAGAACATTGTTATTTAACCTGGGATTGAGGTGGGTGACTACTTCTCTGATACGAAGATTTTTTTCCCTATTTTTGTTAATTGGAAAGGCGTTACACGAAAAACTTATTTTATGGAAAAACAATCAGGTCTCTGCGTTTCAAAATTACGTATTTCTTCGGAATAATGAAACCTTTGCGGCTTTAATTTTCATTGAAGGGATTGAACTTTCTCCAAATGTCATCAGGTAAACGTAAACAGCATCGTAGGAGTTCGAAATTAAATTAGATTAGGAACGACTCCAATTAAAGTAATAACCATAAGCCAAGATTACTACAAGGCAAAAGGCCCAGCGGGGTCTTCTTTATCATATTTGTTTTAGGTATTGACTTTATTCTAACGATTGATATTGTCAGAAGTTATTGTTTTAAGCCATTTTTCAGGTACACTAGTAATAAACAAATGAACTATTACCTAAAAAAGGAAATCAACCAGACCCTGCGTGCAAATTTAAAAAAAATTACAAAAGATAAAAAGTCAAGGAAAAAAGATATGTCAAAATTTGCATACCCTTGTAAAATCATGATTTTCAAATGTTGCCTAAAAGTTGTGTCTTTGTTGTGGGCACACTGTTAAAATTTTGAACACAAACCATATTGCATGTACCTCCTGTCTTTAAACCCGGAGGGCGTCAAAATTATACCGAGTTTTTTTCAAGTTTGGTATTGCGGACACCTTATTGTTTTCATTGTTTTATCTGATTTGTGATCATGGTAGAGGAAGCTAAATTAAACTTTTTTATCTGTCATGAAAGTTAAAAAGCGGCGGGAGATCTTCAAAGAAAGACATTTATGAATAAAACATTGATTCATTTGGTGATTTTGAATACAGCTTTTTTTTCATAGTCGGGGTTTGTTTCAATTTATGGTTTCATTGCATGATTGGGGCAGCTGCATCCCTGCTAGATATATCGAAATGATAATTCAGCAGAGATGTTATTCTAGAAAGTGTGAAGAGGAAATAGTATGAGCTTGACTCGCTGCTCCCTGCTGTAACCGACTGTAAACTAAAAAACATTGAAAAAATAATCTCTGGACGTGGTGAGGATTCCTTTTTTTCTTATAGTTATATTTATAATAGAGATGATCTTGTTATATAATATCGTGCTCGACAGTCGGGATGTTTTGAAATAAGATGGACTAGAAGGAGCTAACCTAGCTTCTTTTCAACATCGACTTTTGTTTTAAATACTGCATGATGAATTCGGAAAACACTGCGGTGTTTGTGGTTCAAAAAAAAAACTTAAAGCGAACTAACATTAGAGAAAACCATTTACATATTGCAGCAGTTTAGAGATAAAAAATTCATATCCTACAAGCAACAGATAATTCCTCTTTATCATCGTATATAAAAAAAGAAAAAAACTTCAAAACTTTCAGCAGACCCTGGGAGCTTCAAACGGATGCAGCACGTTTTTCATCCTTCTCCCACATGTAGCAACAGAAAATTTGGCATGCTCGCTGGTCATTCTGCCAATAATCCGCAAAAAACCCGAAGCGTGACATTTGAACTACTTAAAGCGCATTAAAAATGGTTAAGACCTTTGAGAAAATATTTCATTGGGGTTTTTGTATTGCACCTTCAGCCGAAAATGTACACGAAATATTTGATGGAGAGAGCTCTCTAATGAGATGCGCTGGTTCAGTTAATTACCCAAAGCCTCGTTCTCAGTACTAAGCCGCAATACTAATTACATATTCAATTGCATATTTAGCCCATTTTAACATAAGTAGCTTCTAATTGAGGCCGTCTCTGGTAATACGTTCAA